AGGGTGCATGAAAACATAAGTAAAAGTGCACTTGCGGGTGACTAAAGTAGCAACACAACAACACCCAAATTACAGAAGTCTCAATCAACATAAGCATGAATACAAACATGTAGAAATTGTGTGATCAGATATAGAAGAATAAAAACATGTAATCTGAAAAGAAAATTAACCGTAATTGAATTCATACGCTTACTAAGAAAGATCGATTCAATGATAAATCAACATAGACTCAAATAGAGATACTGTAATTTCAAATTGGAAAATTGAACTGATAAATAAATCATATGAATTAAACTTACAATCATCCATGTGGAGAACATGATACTTTTCATAATTTCAGATTGACTCATATGAAAATTCATATAGAGTAATTCATGGCAGTCTCAGGCACATGAGAGATGGAAGACAGAGATGAGTGAGGAAGGCAAGAGATAGATTATAGGCCGCCGATGAATATGAGAGATCGAGAAGCGATCGCCGATGAAGATGAGAGAAGGAGAAGAGATCGTCGATGAAGATGAGCGACAGAATAGGGTTTAACGATGAAGATGAGAGAGAAAAGAATTGTCGATGAACATGAGCGAGAAATATGAGATGAGATACGGTGTTTAGAAGGAAAGGTGCCAAAATGACCTTTGTAGCCTCACACGAATTATTATATTAATTTAAAAGATGTTGAAATCCAAGGGTCCTCATTCATTCTTATTTCTCTCCCTAGATCTTTTTCTCATTTGATCCCTACTCTATATATACTCTATATATATAGAGTATATATATATATATAGAGAGCTCTTCTCATCAGGCCGGCCTGACGGGCTGCCCCGTCCGGCCGAGCCCGTTTGGGCACCTTCCCGGTGGAATTTTTTGATGAAATTTTTTGAGCATGTTCCTCATCAAGTCTAGTTTGTCCATACCAAATTTCAGCTCAAAATTCGATCGGGAAGGTCGTCAAATGATTTTTGCAAGTTAACTGGTCCGGAATATGTATTTTCCGGACCAGTTAACTTGCAAAAATCATTTGACGACCTTCCCGATCGAATTTTGAGCTGAAATTTGGTATGGACAAACTAGACTTGATGAGGAACATGCTCAAAAAATTTCATCAAAAAATTCCACCGGGAAGGTGCCCAAACGGGCTCGGCCGGACGGGGCAGCCCGTCAGGCCGGCCTGATGAGATGATTTCTCTATATATATATATATATATATATATATATATATATATATATATAGGAGTATTCATGTCCATAATTTCCGGCAGGAGCCCCGTCCAGCCTCATCTGTTTCGGGCGGTTCCCGGTGGTATTTTTTGCTGAATTGTTTTGTGTATGTTCTTCATCAAGTCTAGTTTATCCATACCAAATTTTAGCTAAATATTCAATCGGGAAGAGTTCAAATAATAATTTTAGGCTAAAGGGTCAAATAGGCTCTTGAACTGACTTAAAGAGTTCAATTAGCTCCTTATATAGAAGGTCCTGCCCTTCCGTCGCTAATTGTGGCGGTTTCCGGTGGAATTTTTTGATGAATTTGTTTTGGCATATTCTTCATTAAGTCTAGTTTACCCATACCAAATTTCAGCTAAAAATTCAACATGGAAGGTAGTCAAATTATTTTCCGAAATGTATTGCGTTGTTTAACTTCGCAGTTATCTTCAAAAAATCATTCGACTGCCTTCCCGGTTGAAATTTTAGCTGAAATTTGGTATGAGTAAACTAGACTTAATGAAGAAGATGTTCAAAAAATTTCTTCAAAAAATTCCACCGGGAACCGCCGCAATTGGCGATGGCCGGGCAGAACCTCCTATATAAGGGGCTAATTGAACACTTTAAGTCATTTCAGGGGCCTATTTGACTCTTTATCCTAAATTTTAATTTGTTAATATTTTAGGAAAAATCTCTAGAAAATTTGTAACATCGTACTCAGGTATATTTACTTTTTAGTAAATCATGTAATAAACATTGAAGAATGATTTATGAATTTACGAGGTTGTAATTTTTTGTTAGTTCTTTTACGTGAATGGTAAATTGCATGTGGGACCCTCATCGGGAACGGGTACCACCCGATACTTCTGGGACCACATATTATATTCATCTTGGTCTAGATAATATGTATATGGTGGTAGATATTCTAGTTGGGCCATGGAGAGGGAATAGGGTTGACCGGTTGGTCAAACGAGACCATAATTTATCAGATTATAGCTCGAAATGAATTTCATAGACTTCTAAATTAAAGTTGAGGAATGTATTTTCATTCTAAAGGCCCATAGTTATTGGGAACAAAAGGTATATTTTATTTGGCCCGATAAAATAAAAGATAATTAAAACAGTCTGAGAAATACAACTTTCGGGGTCGATTGTACATATCGGGACATATTGGAATGACCTCCCACATGAGTGGGTGCCACCCCACGTTTTTTAGTCTCAATGGAGACTTGAAGTGGCCGCACAACATGTTGAGGACAGATTAAGTTGATAGAAATGGGATCAATTGAGGTGTGGACTTCACTCCCACACATTATTGTCATGTAAGACCAAGAAGAGCTCTCCCTACTTCTTTCCTCATCATTGTACTCGACCAAACCATCAAAGAAGGGAAAAAGGGATCTCTCAAACCATTCTCCATTGCTGCAATTCGAGCTCAAGCAAAGGTGGTTCAAGAAGAAAAATTAACGAAGGAAAAAGTTAGGAAAAGTGTGAAAGATTAAGGTAATGACCTTATAACAACTTTTCCTCTACATAATATGTAGCATATGACTTATACATCATATGAAGTATCCCTAGGATTTTTTTACATGTTTAGAAGTGGAGAATGAGGGACTGGAAGGAGGTTCTAAGTCCAAGAACGGAATTAGAAACCAAAGTGACCGTTCGCTGGAAAATAACCTTTTAGAGGTTATGTGTATTGATATGGGTTTTGTGATGATAAAACCTTTCACGGAGTTGAAAGAGTTGCCGAGTTGTCACGGAGTTGAAAGAGTTGCTGGAGTTGTCACCAGAGTTCAACAAAGTTCGTCGGAGTATTGTCGGAGTTCAACCGAGAAGGGTTGAACTTCATAACGCTCATTCGAGGTGAGTGGACGGCTTAATGTCTTGTAACTCTTGGGTTAATTATGAGATTACTTAAGTAAATGTTATATGTGTTCATAATGATGTTTAAAAGAGTTTAAACATGTGATTAGCCAAAGTGATTAGGCTTATATGAATTATGAAATGAACTATTGAGATATGCATGAAATATGATATGAAAATGTTTATAAAAACATATGTGATGTTTTGAAGGAAAAAAAAAGGCGCAAAATGGATGTCAACGAAGTGTTGACCGGTTTCCCAGCAGGCAACTAGCTCTGGTTATGGGTAGGACCAGCGCCGGTTTGGGTACGGGGTGCCCGGTTCATAATAATAAATTATGAACCAGCTCCGGACAGGTCTGAACCGGCGCTGGTTCGGTGTTGTTTTGCCCATATGTTGATTTTTAATGCATGGTTTGCATGGATGATTATGTTTAGGCCTTAAGACTTTGTTTAGTCTTGAGTACTGATTATGATCTAGATCTTATCTAGTATGATATGTGGTAGATCATAGGTCAGATGGAGTACACAAGGATCGGGTGTGTATCCTCAAAACTCAGTTATGCGGGGTAGAGTATCGAAGGATCTGGCATGTATCCTCAAAACTCAGATATGTAGGGTGGAGTAGCCAAGGATTGGGCGTGTATCCTCAAAACTCATAGATTACAGATTAGTAATTCAGGATCGGGTGGTGTCCTTATGATAATTGATTTGGACCATGAGGAGTCTTATACACTCATATGTATATGGGTGGATTGGGATCAGATTTAAGTCAAGGACATTGACTACTACTATTTTCCCAAATAAACAATGACCTACGGGTCGGGTACTTCCAAGTGTATATATACTGATATATATATTTCATAACTTGGGGTGAAAGAAATATATGTGTATGTATCACCAAATGTCTGGGTCTTATACTTGAAACATTAGTTATGCTACATTCAGCCTACTGCTCGGTCGGTATTCGCGTACCGACCCCTTCGGGGGGGCCACCATTTCAGGTTGAAGCTAGAAGTTGCTACCTGCACCTTTCAGACGGGTGAAATCATATTCAGGAAGACGTGGTTCATGCTTCTTTGTTATCCTTAAAACTACAGACACTTGCTCATGGATATTTATTTTGCTATAAACTATTTTGGGTCTGCGATCCTATGTTTTGGTCGGATGTGGCACATGACTCATTGTTGAATATTTCCTCTATTCAGTGTGATGTTTTTACGTATGTTTACTTACTGAGTATGGTATGAACTATGTTCATGGATGTCTTGTATGATTAAGTAACGTTGACTTGCGAGTAACGTCACTTGGTCATACGGCGGTTGTACACGCGCTTGGATGTGGTCTGCAGCGTAACAAAATTTGAAATATAATTTGACATGGTTTTCTTTCGTGCACACACACACGTGTATGTATGAAATGTTTTCCGGCCGGCCACCGAACCGGGTGAAAATGTGATGAAATGTTTTCAGAATTGAAAACGGAAAACTGGAAATTGAGAACACAAAATTGGAGTAAATAATTAAAATCAAAAAGATAAAACAAAAAAATTGGAGAATGGAAAATAGAAAAGAGAACTATAAAATATCTCGTTATTAAACGGGCCCTTAGGACTCCTACTATAGTACTCCCTCCGTCCCCCTAACTTTGTCCCGTTTTACCTTTTCCGTCCGTCCCATTAAGTTTGTCTCATACCATATGTGGTAATATTTGTGTGGTTACAATTCATTCTTACTTTATTCACACTTTATCAATTCAATACTAACCACACAATTCCACATTTTCTTAAAAGTTGTGCCACACTCCTTTGTCTGGAGGTAGTCCTACATATTTTAAAAATTTACACCATGTTTTACTCTTATTAATTAAAGGCAATTTTTATATTTTTTTAACTTTCTTTAAATAGTTTTAAATGAATAAATAATTCGAAGTGGTGGGAGTACTCCATACCAAATGCGTCCGGACTCCGCGGTACTAATTTACAAATTACAATTGGTATTGGGCAAGAAGTTGAGAGCTGATACTCTCCCTCTTCGCGAGGCTCTTCTGCGCCTATACTCGATCCTTGGATTCTTCGATGGATTTTGATAGTTATCTGGTTTCTGGTTCATCTTAAGCTCGGATTCCGTGCTTGGATTCGACTGTAGAAGGCCTAATACGACTGACTTCCACGTAACAAAGCCAAATTACTGTTCACGGTAAAATAGCTTTGTTCCTCGCTCAGATTCCATCTTTCTCGAACGAGTTCGTCGCCTTCAAGTGTGGTTTGATGTTCGTTGTCCCGGTATTATGCTAGGGTGTGGGCAACAAAGCTCCATAGCTTTAAGATTTAGGTTTTGGGTTTCGTTGGTATGCTCTTGCGTTTTCCTGAGTTCGTTGGTCTGCAATAGTCGGTTGATTGGAACTTCTAAGAGCTGGAGCCTTAAACTCCTGAGTTGGGTGGGAAAATAATTTGGGAGTTATGGTGAGAAGTAAACAAGGGCCAGGGGTTGCTGCGCGTATTACACGCTCCTCCAGGTTCTCTGCTTTGGAAGATGCAGATGAAGAATTCCCAACATTGAAGGCTGCGAAATTGGTGAAAGTGGGCGAGACAAATCCATCTGGGACTGCTAAAACTAAAGCTTCAGGGTATACTACCTTGGATGCAATGGAAGCTACTGGGAGTGGAACCCCAAATTTGAAAGAACAACCAGCTGGTGCTGCTAAGGAACCTGCGTTTGGTACTACAGGAGCAAATAAGGCTCAGCATGTGCAGCCTATAACTACGCAGACAGTGGTCTCAGGTGAAATTAAATCTTGGAACTCCCTGTTTAGAGACAACCGTGATCCAAAAAATGGGATTAAGCTGAAATATGTTCCACCGAAAGGCGAAACATTGGACTTTGGTGACCGAGTACTACCCTCGATGGTTGAAATGTGGGGCTACTGCCTTGTGGGACAATTCACCGGTAAATTCCCCGGACTCAAAGCGGTCCACGATTTGAAAGCTAAATGGGGGGTAAAATGCCTTGTAAGGTCGCATAATAAGGGTTGGATAATTTTTAAGTTTCAAAATGAAGAGGATAGATCGAAGGTACTACTTGAGGGACCTTACACCGTATTTGGGAAACTCCTAATGCTTAAAGTACTCTCGGAGGATTTCACCTTTGAGGATGAGGAATTTCTAAAAATTCCAATTTGGACCAAATTCCCTAAACTACCAATGAGTTTATGGAATGATGAGGCTATGAGTGAGGTGGCATCTATGGTTGGGGTCCCAATTACCACGGACAAGATCACTCAAGAGAGGGCAAACAATGATTATGCTAGAGTGTTAATAGAGGTTGATGTCTCTAAGCCACCACCACTTCATTTTCCTATACGACTACCTTCCCGAAAGGTAATCAAACAAAATGTGCTTTATGAAACTTTTCCTAACTTTTGTTTTCAGTGCAAAGAATTTGGGCACCACCCATTTATCTGTAAAAAGCTTGCCAAAAGGGACGATGGAGAAAGAGAGAAGGAAAAGTGCATTGAGGAAAATGAAAAAATAGGGAAGGTGGCCGCAAAGCCACAAACTGCTGCTGCCCAGGGGTCTAACCCGACCGGGTTAGCCCCTGATCCGACCGGGTCTCTTGCCCAGACAGCTACTGCCACTGTCCAGGAGCTCCAAACTGCCCCGCACCCGCCCGGGGGTTTGACTGACCCGACCGGGCCTACTTCCCAGGGGTCTGCCAACGACAAAATGGGTGCTGCCTTGAAAAAGAATCCGCAAACCGAGGGGCTGTCTAAAGATGTTGATAAGGATTTCGAGGCCGGTTTGGTAGATACCGAAAGGATTGTGATGGACGAAAAAGATTTGAAGCTTAATGACGTCGTCTTCAAATGTGCGGTCATAAACGATAAGACACTCAAGCTAGCGGTCAAACCATTTAAGTTCGTGCACGCGAGTGTAATTATAGTGGATACCTCCCTTCGACTTACGGATGATTTGGATAGGAAAGGCCTTACCTTCACCGCCAAATGTCTCAAGGGGATGCCGGGAGTTACTAAGAAAAAAGGTGAAGTTTGTTTCGACTCAAAGTTCACCTCTCCTTTCCGAACTTTCTTTGGACTTTAAATTAGGGACTCCTAATATTCTGTTGTGGTAGCTTGATTTTTGTGTGAATTTTATTTTGCTCCTAATGCATTTGGGTTCAAAATGTTGACTTGGGGGGAGGGAATGTTTTGATTTTGTGGTATCCTATATTTGGGGATATGCACTTTACTTGTAACATTAAGATGTATTATATCTAGGTTAGTTCTTTCTAGCTTAGATAGTCATTTTGATTTGGATTGTTGCATTGTAAAATGCTATTTTTTTCGGTTTCTAATATACTTACGTATTATCGGTACAAATTACAATTGGTGAAAGCGTGAAACTTGATCCTTACATCTTCTTAATGATTAGTTTACGCTGTCCGTATGAAGATGGGTTTATTAGCTGTCTGAACGCTCGTTGACGGTTTCATTTGAACTTCGAGCTCTGTGTGTGATCGGTGATCCCATTCCTCTCTCTTCTTCTCCGATCTCCACACAGAGGCGGTTATGGCTTCCCTAGCTAATGCATCTGAAACCAAGCCTTACAAGTTCCTGATCTATGGCCGCACCGGCTGGATTGGCGGTCTCCTCGGCAAGCTCTGCGAGGCTCAGGGGATCGAGTACGTGTACGGGTCTGGGAGGTTGGAGAACCGGGCATCCTTGGAGTCCGACATCGCCTCTGTTAAACCCACCCACGTCTTCAACGCCGCCGGCGTCACCGGCCGCCCCAACGTTGACTGGTGCGAGTCTCACAAGGTTGAAACCATTCGGACCAATGTTGTAGGCACGCTGACGCTCGCTGACATCTGCAGGGAGAAGAGCCTGGTCCTCATCAATTACGCGACGGGGTGCATTTTCGAGTATGATTCAACCCACCCGCTTGGATCCGGCATCGGGTTCAAGGAGGAGGACACTCCTAATTTCATCGGATCGTTCTATTCCAAAACCAAGGCTATGGTTCGTTTCTTATTTCTGTGCTCATTCTGTGTCTGTTCAACTGTTATGCTCCATTTGCGTGCTGTGTATCAGTGTATACTAAGCTATTGAATCTCATGATCTGCTATTTAGAGCCATTGATCAGATCTTGAATTCATTTTTTACTGTGATCTCAGGCACAACTATAGTGTTCAATCTGCATTTTGGCTGTAAGTTTTAATGCATCATAGTAAAATGGTACATGATCTTATCAGTTCCTCTAGTAGACTAGTATAAACTTACACAACCTCACATTAATTAATTGTTTATCTGCGAATGCGTGCAATAGAAACCTGCTAGCTATTATAGGATTAGGACTCAGAAGCACAATCACAAATCGAATGGGTATTACAGTGCTTATTAATCAAGGCCATGACATGTTTCTTCTTCATTTACCTACTCTTTATTAGTATACATGTATCTTTAAGCTCCAATCGCTGCTATGCATGTTAATCTATTAATTTGAGGATATGCTCCTTAGAGTAATTGATTGTATCTCGAGTGCTTTTGGAATGTGAACTAATAATTACTTATAGTGTTCAATCTGTGTGTCTCCATAGATGCTAATGAATTAAATCAACAGCTTTATTTTTATATCTGGACTTATATAACTGAGTTAAAGTGGCTCTTTTTGTTTAACTTGTATTTAATTTGCTATCTGACTATCTCGTTGATTTATCTGTTTTATGTGGGGAAAGCTGTTAATTAGTTCCTTTATAGAAACTGAGTGACAGATTTACTTAGGCATTGTCAGAGCTTCTTTGTACATGGTTACTCTGATATTCCATCCTAGTTTATGGGTTTGTGTTGTTTCTGCTTGAAACAGAAAGTAATTGAAACAAAAAGTATCCCCTTGCATGCATGTTGATTAATCACATTTGCCATTATGAATGTTTAATTTTATTAGGTGGAGGATCTGGTCTTATATAACTGAGTTAAAGTGGCTCTTTTTGTTTCACTTGTATTTAATTTGCTATCTGACTATCTCGTTGATTTATCTGTTTTATGTGGGGAAAGCTGTTAATTAGTTCCTTTATAGAAACTGAGTGACAGATTTACTTAGGCATTGTCAGAGCTTCTTTGTACATGGTTACTCTGATATTCCATCCTAGTTTATGGGTTTGTGTTGTTTCTGCTTGAAACAGAAAGTAATTGAAACAAAAAGTATCCCCTTGTATGCATGTTGATTAATCACATTTGCCATTATGAATGTTTAATTTTATTAGGTGGAGGATCTGCTGAAGAACTATGAGAATGTGTGCACATTACGAGTCAGAATGCCCATCTCATCTGATTTATCCAACCCTCGCAACTTCATCACTAAGATCTCTCGCTATGACAAAGTAGTTGACATTCCGAATTCCATGACAATACTAGATGAACTCCTCCCTATATCAATTGAGATGGCCAAGAGAAACCTCACCGGCATCTGGAACTTCACCAACCCTGGAGTGGTCAGCCATAATGAGATTCTGGAGATGTACAGGGAATACATTGATCCAAACTTCACCTGGAAGAACTTCACCCTTGACGAGCAGGCAAAGGTTATTGTTGCTCCACGAAGCAACAATGAGCTTGATGCTACCAAACTAAAGAAGGAATTTCCTGAGCTCTTGTCGATCAAGGAGTCCCTTATACAAAATGTGTTCAAGCCTAACCGTAAGACCCCTGTGGCTTGAACCATTTGTGGTTCGAGTTTTGTTTGGAGATTCTATATTCGCTATCTTTTCATGCCTGTGGACATCACAGGTTCTTTTTACCAAATGTAGCCTTTCAATCTTTCATAGCTTTTTGTCTGTTTTGAGTTTTTTATTTCTATTATTTCTGTATGAATAATTTGGGAATAACCCTTTCCGTGTATTAGTACTTGTTCAAAAGAATTAGACTTTTGTTCAAACATCAAGCGGCTTGTTTAATTTTTAGTTTCGTTCTGCATGCTGTTTATATTCCTACTTTCCTAGGTCAGTACGCTTCTATATGAAATTGAATTGGCATCATGGGGTTTGGCTGTTATTTGTTGTAGCCGACTGGTATGAGTTATTGCTCAAAGTTGCGTTTCTTCTCATTATATATTACGGCTGATAATCCTTCTATCAATAAATTAAGAAATTCCTTGGATTTAGGGAAAAAAATATTTTTAAAATATATTTTATTAATAAAATAAAGGGAAATTTATAAGTAAAAATATCTGAAATGGTCATCTACAGTAACTTCAGTCAATACAGCCAGACTGAACAATTCAGTGCTTATTACACAATTCAGCGCGCGAAAGCAAAAGTTACGTGTTTGGTGAAAAAGTTGGCTGATAAGCCTGATAACCCGAAAAACAGTGTTGTCAAACGGCCTCTCAATGTACTGCTAAGAATTTAGTCATGTCTATTTTCGATGTCTAAAGTCTAGATGTCTAGTTAATGACTTTGAACAATTTGAATTGCCACATTATCAACAACTTTTTTTGTTCACTTGAAAAAAGGATGACAAGTCGGTCCCATAACTGACTAAACAGTTATCTGAGGAGGCAAATTGAACTTTGAATAAAACTAATGTTTGATCACTTGGCATTACAAATGGGTTCTTTCTTTCCAAATGCCAAAGATTCTAAAAGTAGATGTTTGACATTTTTCCGTTTTTTAGGGTGGAGGGTGGGAGTGAGCCTCACAACTAGGTATGGACCGGTCCTGGGCGGTCTTTTTGGGTTTGGCTTCGGGCCCGAAACCGGCCCGGGTTTCCGCCGGGCCGGTCCCCGGGCTTCTTCAATTTTTTTTGCTTTTCTAATCAACCCCCGACCCCCCCCCCCCACCCCATCCCCCAAACCCCCTCAAAACACTCAGCTCAACCCGGGAAAAACAAAAAATTGAAAAAAAAAACGAATCGGACCCGGCCAGTTCCTATTTTTGATGACCCGAGCCCGCCCTCTGCAACCTCTGAACTGGGCCTGCCCGGACTGATCTCTGGCCGGGCCACCGGGCCGGGCCGGTTACAAACAGTGCCGGGCCACAGGCCGGCCGGCCCGGAACCGGTCCACCATAGGGATGGACTCGAGCCGGGCCAACCGGCCTGCTACTGTGCGGGCCCGGACCGGCCCGGTGAACCGGTTTGTGCCCGGTTCGGGCCACCCGGCCCAGTGGTATAGCGGTCCGGGCCCGGGCCTCCATTTTAGTGAACCGGCCGGGCCGGGCCCGGTTCGGGCCTCCAACGGTCATTAAAAAAATTAATTTGTAAAGTGGCTTCTAGCCGTTGGGAGCATAGGAGGGGGGGTCTGGGGGGTGGGGTGGGGGTGGGGTGGGGGTGGGGTATAAAAAAAAAAACCTATTTATACTCCTATTTTCTATACATTTTTTACACATCTTCTTCTACAACTCTTCCTACTCTCTAATTCTCTACTCTCAATCTCTCATATTCAATCATCTTCATTCTTCATCTTCTCCAAATTCTTTCTACATATATATAATTTATATAATTATTATATCTACTTATATATTATTTATCTACTTAGAAATATATACTTATACACATTCATATTATAATTCTTTACACATTATATATACTATATATACTATATATACTATACACATTCATATTTACTTGATATTTAGTTATTATCCATACTATTGTTATTTACTTATATTTATATATTACATTTAGTTAATATATACTTATATATATATATATATATTAAAGTATTAAGTATAAGTGTATTACTCATCTTATAGTAATATACTTATATATTATATACTATAAACATTATATTATATATTACTTATAATATATTTACACATTATATATACTATTTTTTTTTAATTTGGACCATTTCTCGATTTGTGCGTGTCATCCTTGCGCAGGGGCCATGCTAATCTTCTCTGTATCGTTCCAATTTTATCAGATGTCCCTGAAGGGACTTATTATATATACTATATATACTTATACATATTCATACATTTTATAAAAGTAGTTAATTGTTAGACTTCTCATTTATCTATTAAATTAGTTAATTGTTACATTTCTCTACATTTCTCTTTAAAGAAAAAAAATAGTTAAAGTAGTATATTTTTACATTTTTCATATTAATATTAGTTAAAGTACTTAATTGTTTCATTTGTCATATTAATATTAGTTAATTGATACATTGCTCATTAAAGTAAAAAAAACTAGTTAATTTTTACATTTGTCATAATAATATTAGTTAAACTACTTAATTGTTACATTTCTCATATTAATATTAGTTACTTGCTACATTTCTCATTAAAGTAAAAAAGGTAGTAAATTTTTACATTTGTCATAAGGTGATATTAGTTAAAGTATACATTTCTCATTAAGGTAAAAAGAACTAGTAAATTTTTACATTTGTCATTTTATAAACTAGCTAAAGTAGTTAATTGTTAAATTTGGTATATGAATATTAGTTAATTGCTATATTGCTCATTAAAGTAAAAAAAAAAAACTAGTTCATTTTTACATTTCTCATATTAGTTAGTTGCTACATTTCTCATTAAAGTATTAATTAGAAGTAGTTCGATTTTTATACTCATATTTTAGTTCGAATTTGCTATAGTTTTTTTAGTCACATTTTATTAATACTATTGTACTCATATAAAATATTTGATATCATTTAATATTTGTTCAATTTTAAAGATGGAGCGTGGTAGACATTCTGTAGATGTGGGTAATCTCCAACGCAACCGCAAGAGGGAGATTGCGTCGACTCGTCCTTCTTCACGCAAAGGCAAAGGTAAAGCGCGGGCGGAGTCTTCTTTTCAAAGTCAAGATGACTTTGAAACGGATTACCAACGGAGAGATGATATGATGATGTCCGACGAGCATCTACAAAACCTATTGTCCCAAAACGATCCACGCTTTGCACAACAACAACACATCCCGACAACCATTGATGAAGAGGAGCTCGAGGATGACGATGCGGAGGAGGACGCGGGAGGCGACGGCGACGGGACTCACGGCACCCCGGATGATGAGCAAGACTTGGAGGACGAGGGCAGTTCAACCCAAACTGGTAACAAATCTAAATCTCCTTTTATTGAAAACAATTTTACAAAAAGGAAAGACAAAAATACCGAAAAATGGTACGCAAGTTGCAATCATTGCGGCAAAGAGTATAGCTTGGGAACTTCTGGCGGATACGGGAGTCTCACAAGGCATCTTAAGTCCGCCCATCTTGTGGAGTATGCGAAAATAGACAAGGGCAAGGGGAAGCAAACACAAATATCGAGGTTTGCAAATTCTCAACCCTTTGGTAATTTCTCCTATGATGATCAAAAACATTTGACTGGTATGTCTCATTTAATTGTTGAAGAAAATTTACCCTATATTTTTTCCGAAAGTCTTGCTTTAAGAGATTATGCTCAAGGTACTTTAAGTGGTGGAAGGACAATGAAAGAACGTTCCCGGTTTTATCAAAGATGGCTAAGCAAGTGCTAGTAATGCCGATATCAACAGTTGCCGTGGAACAAGAATTTAGTGCGGCCGGCAACGTCCTAACCGATTATAGAACGAGGTTGAGCCCGAGCTCTCTTGAGACGCTAGTTTGCTTCCATGATTGGTTGAAGGCCAAACGAAGAACTCAAGAAATGACCATCGCTCCCACCCGCCACTTTATGGAGGAAACAACCACCGAAGGCGGAGATTCCGATTGATTTTTTATTTCAAAATGTATTACATTTTTTAAATGCATCCTAATTCTCAATTGTACTTCTTATTTGAAATAAAAATACTTGAATTATTTTATATTAGTGTGTACATCAATTCAATAATTCAATTCAATAAAATTAATTTGTAAACTTGTACTTCATATGTAGCACTTCTCAAATTAATTAATTGGTTACATACTTATAACTTACAACTTGAATTTTTTTTTTGTAAAATGTAAAGGCTGTTTTTAAATTAAAATATGTAATATTAATATGTAAATTAATTAATTTGTTACAAACTTACAAGTTACAACTTATACACCTATTTTGTAACATTTGTAAATTATAAATCAAATCACTTTTCTAAGTAAAAATAGTTTTACTTAATTAAAAAATTAAAAACATTTTCCTTACACAATATGTATAATTTTCTAAATCATATCACTTTCCTTACATTTTTCTAAATCAAATCACTTTTCTAAGTAAATTATACACAATATGTATAATTTTCAAAAAAAAAAAAATTAAAACATTTTGAAGTGGGAGATTGCTCCCAAACGGCTATATAGCCGTTGGGGCTTAGGGTGGGGGGCAGGGGGGTCCCGGGGGTGGTGGGGTGGGGGTGGGGTTCAAAAAATCTATAAATATATCTATTTTCTACCATTTTCTACACCTCTTCTCCAACTCTTCTCCATCTTCATCTTCTCTTATTATCATACATTTCTACTTACACATCTACCATTTTAAAGATGGAAAGTAATTCTTCTGTTATGCAAAACAACTTTGATAAGTGGAAGGACCCGAAGACCGGACTGTGGTGGGCAACTTGCAAGTGGTGCAAGAAAGAGTGTTGCTTGGGGCGTTCACACGGAGTCGGGATGCCAATAAAACATATGAAGTCATGTGACAAAGGTAAAACAACAACCAACGGTGGCGGAAATCCCAATTGATATTTATTCAAAAATGTATTTCATATTGTTATTTTTTCCTCAATTCTCAAATGTACTTCCTATTTCAAATAAATGCACTCTAATTTTGTTTTTAATAACAATTATTATAATAATATAATATATAATTTTAAAAAAAAAATTAAAAGGACCGGCCCGTGAACCGGGCGGGTGGCCCGAACCGGACCCGGGGTTACCCGGTCCGGTTCCGGGCCTCCCAAACCTTGAACCGAGGCCTGGCCGGTTCAAGGCCCGAACCGGGCCCGGCCCGAACCGAGTCCATCCCTAGTCCACCACTACTCGCAACTAGCTAGTCCAATACCAAAATTTGACTGTATCGACCTTATTTTGAAGTCTCCAAAGGTAAGATATGATTCTTGTGAATTAAAATTGAAATAGCTGTTCCATTTAACACTATGAAAGGGTTACATAAGTTC